GGTATTTTTGGGGAAGGAGAGGTGAAAAGAGGGAGAGGGACGGACGATCTCTATTTCAGGCCCCTGGAAAGTTTCTTTTACGAGGCAAATATTCCCACCGTGGCTTCACCATGACAGCAGTGGGAAGCTTCTTGCATAACCCTCTTTGCTTTGGGAGAAAACAGCGACAGAGAAATCCCCTTCCCCAGCCTCATCCCACCACCTGGAGATATCGGGGTCTCGGGGTTTTCCTACCAGCTTTCCTTCCCGAACTGTACGTGCCAACCGGCGGCACGGCTTCTTCCTCGCCCTGGAAGGAAAATAAAATTATTTTTATATGTATAGTTTTTATGATGGGACATCAGCCAGGCAAGGTAGCGTGGCTACCTCATTCCTCCCTGCGAAGTGTCCTTTGCCCGGTGCAGGGCTCAGCCCGATCCGGTGCCCCCCGGCCCGGTCCAGCCCCCAGCCCCGCTCACCCCTCCGGCCTGCCGGGGCCAGCCCAGGAACACCCTTTCTGCCCGCCGGTTGTCCCCGCAGATTGAGCCGAGTTTGGGGACGAAGAGAGGGGAGGGGGGAGACCCCCGTGTGCTGCGGAGAGAAACTTGGGAGAGGTGCGACGGGAGGCTCAGTGTCGTTTCCCCCTTCCCCCTCCCGGCAGGGATCTACGAGTGCAAAGAGAAGAGGGAAGACGTGAAGTCGGAAGATGAAGATGGACAGACCAAGCTCAAACAAAGGAGAAGCAGAACCAACTTCACGCTAGAGCAGTTGAATGAGCTGGAAAGACTTTTTGATGAGACTCACTATCCGGATGCCTTCATGAGGGAGGAACTAAGCCAGAGGCTGGGACTGTCTGAAGCTAGGGTTCAGGTAAGAGAAAAGCTCTGTTCCTGGAAACGTCCTCACCTCCCTCCCCAGCTTCCAGCGGAGCCGCGCACAGTGCCCCGTTTCATCCAAGGCAGGAAGGTGAGGGTAGAGACGACGCGTTGTGATGGGGAAGCTGTTTGCAACTCCGCTGTACCTGTCCTGCCAAACAGTAATTCCGCTCGGGGGGTATCTGCCCGTGACTTGCGTTTCCTAGAAAGGCGGTTTAATTTTTGGTTTTTGAAGGGGGTGTGGTGGTGGTGGTGTTGATAGTGGTGACAAGTCTCTAATAACTAAGCAACTTGCTTAAAAAAAAAAAAAAGTATTTTTCCTTGCAAACGTGTCATTAACTCACCCTGAATCCTCACTTTCTTCTACCTCCTTCTTTTATGGGGCCGTTACAGAAAAAAAAAAAGTCCAGAAAACAATTGCCGTGAATAAGGCTAGACGGTCTGGGTGCTGAGGGACGGGATTAGGCAGAGCCGGGGGAAAGGTGCCCCCTCCGATTCGCGCAGCAAGCGTATGAATGCATGGCACCCCATCTGGTAGAGTCTCCTCCTGTCCCTCCCTTCCCACTTCAGACACAGCTAAATACCAATTAGCCTTCAAAACCTTGGAAATAGCTCCGAGTTGCTGCAGTGCTGAGGCCATCAGAGCCGTCTGTTTGAGTGGCTCCACATAAATTATTTTAAAATTTTATTTTTGGTTTGATGTAGAGGGGAAAATACACTCTTACCCCCCTTCCT